TGTACACCCATCTAAGCACAGTGAAGCGAGCAAAGTTCCAACAAATCAAACCCGCATGCATGCTGTTAAGAAAAACTTTCAACGCGTTTTTACAAATTTGTTTTACTCTTGCGCATGCACGCTTTGGCTCTTTTGAAGATGGCAGAGTCAACACATTACAATTTTTCTAGTTTATCTCCTATAAGAGAAATTATCCTGCATAACAGGTTTTCTGCAAAATTGACTATTCAGTTTGGAGTAGAACATTAAGCTTTCGCCTTCCAGCCTGTGGTCTCGCAAAACTAATACTCGTCTTTTAGCTTTCAAGACATTCAGACTGGAAACCGAAAGCTCTACGTGGTACTCTTAAAACAGTCAAGGGGAGAATTCTTTTCTCATCCAGGATAATTTCCTTTTGATGTGAAACAATACTTTACTAACCTGTAAAACAAGTGTAGTTGTAGCAGTTATCACAAGGCACATCATTCCAAGTGTAACCATGCCTAGCGCCAAGGGTGTGAACGCAGTCTTCGTTTTTCCAGTTGTTGGGTTGTCTTGGAGCCCAGAACCTAAAACTACTTATCTCTTTGTTTGTCCACACAAAAGACCCCTCCACGCTTCGGTCATTGAGTCCAATCCAGGATCTGTCTCCGTTGTGACGGTGCTGAACATAAACATTTTCCTCTTGGTTGTGAACTGTCACCAGATTTGAACTCATGGTCGAGCAATTGGCTTCTGCGGTCAACCAAGAAGAGCATGCGGCACTTGTGAAGTAGCAATAACCGCCAAAGTAACTCCATCCTGGGTGGCAAATATCTAGAATTTTGAGGACACAGAATAAACTGAATCCTTTTCAGGAACCAGTTCCGATCGTAGGTACTTACATTTCTCATACATGCCAACCCATATTCAGTTCATGAGCTAAAACAANGCATGCGGCACTTGTGAAGTAGCAATAACCGCCAAAGTAACTCCATCCTGGGTGGCAAATATCTAGAATTTTGAGGACACAGAATAAACTGAATCCTTTTCAGGAACCAGTTCCGATCGTAGGTACTTACATTTCTCATACATGCCAACCCATATTCAGTTCATGAGCTAAAACAACTCTGTGTGCAATCCGTGGAGTACCAAAATATGTTATTCCTTATTAACCCTTGTGATTGTGGGAAAAATAATGTGTACATGTCTTGAGTAAGGCATTGAAATGGGATAGCCGCCTCACGTTTTGGCATCTTAACCTATAAACAAGTATATCTATTTTGTCTGTAAGCTTATTATGCATGGCAAAGTGGTTTCATATAATAGGGACGGGGACTGTCTGGAAAATTTCCAAAATGAAAGAAAGGAAGAACTTTCAAATTTTCTTCTATTTTGCTTATCGCAAGATAGTAAATTAAAGAAGCCAAAGGTTGGACGATTCCCCGATACATTATTGGTAGCTTTTGTTAATGCACGAACATCCTATTTGTTAACAGTTTTTAACAAATTTGTTTACTCAGATGTGCACTCTCTTAATTTCAGAACAACACTACTTACGCTGCAAGTACGGCCTTAGAAATAGGTGATCGCAAAGTAAGAAATAGGCGATCGCTATCGACAGTGTGTTACACAGTCTGCCCAAATTGATTTCAATAATGGAATTAAATAACTGATTGAAAAAGAAGCTTTCTCAAAGGAGGTTCATGATGTTTTGACCTACGATATGGGCGGGGTTAGAGTTTGTAAACCCAAATTTAAGAGAGGGTCAATATTAGCCTGCAGTGCAGGCGTATTTTGGGTGGGCGAAACCTTGTTCGTGTTCGTAGTATTGCTGTAGCCACCATCTTTGATTGTATGACAGTGCAAGATTGGGGAGAGTAGTAATAGTAACCCTTACGGTAGGTGCGAGGGCGAAAGAAGGGAAGGGGGAAGGAGGAGGGGAGAAAAAAAATACGCCTGCCCGATATCATTGTTCTTTTGGGAAACTCCGTTCGCTTGCAAACAGAGCTCCTGATTGGTGCGGCATAGGGAAGTGAATTGATGCATGTCAATTAACTGTAAATCTATATTGTTTATTCCGTTTCCGTCAATCTTTTGGAATTGGAGCGGCTGGGAATGTCGCGTGTATTACGCAATGAGAAAGTCAAAGCGATTTCTTCACTGGTCATCAGGACAAGATTTGCTCGCAGTACTAAAACCTATACCACTTTTACCTCATGCCAAAATGTTGCTTGTTCCAATACGATTTTTTTCTGGCGAGTAAATTATGCTCTGGAGGGTTCTATGTTTTGACTAAGCAAATGTGATTTTAGCCGCTTATTTCACACTGAGAGGTCATGACACGCTTATTGATTTTCTGTGGTTTTTGAATTTCTGGTCTTCAAGATTTGCCCTCTGATGCAAGAGCGTTTTCTTGGACCTCTTTTGAAGCGTAAAGCTTTTTTTTGTCGCTAAATAAGGCTGTTAGTTTTTTTTATTTTTGTCCAAAGTGCCTCAGGATCTGAATAACTAAGCGATTTTCTTTCTAGTCCGAGAATGTGATGTTTTCCTGCAATGTTGTATCACGCTGGGCCCAGCTCGTTAGTTTTTTAAATTGTTTGCATGATGTTAAACTCTCACGGATAGCGATTTACAGAGGTGAATTTAGAAGAATGAATTGCAGCTTAAACTGAAGCTTCATCAGCTGTGGAGAATTGCACTGTGACTCAGTCTAGATAAAGACAATGATAAACTCCAGCTTGTTTTTCTACGACGATGCGAGTCTTCGGACTGCTGGAGCGACTGTTTGGTTGTTTTGTTATTGTCGGCTACTCATTTCCGGAAGAGCGGTCACGCGCGTCTAACTAGGGGGTGTTTCTCATTTTCACAGTGTTTTCGGGCAGGCGTTTTCTTTTCTCTCTCCACGCCCCCTCGCCGCCCCCTCCCCGTTTCCTTTGACTCGCCCCATCTCCTCCTCTCTTCGGGAAGTTTCAACATGGCGCTTTCGTGAGCAAATTGCGCGCTAAAAGAAAACCCCTGCACTGCAGGCTAGGTCAATATCTTTTGACCCTTGACTTAGACTTTTTAATAGATCTCCCCGCTAGTGATTCATGAACACTCCCTTTTGAAAGCCACCACTTCTTACCTGACAATACAGTGTATGATACGGAAAGCGGGTCATACTTGGATTCGTACAGTTCTTTTAAACAAACTCGGGCGCCTGTTGTGTTAATGTACTGAAAAAAAAATTAAGCTGCATGTGGTTTTGGCCTCTAATACAACGGTCGTCACGGTCGTTTGACTACAAAAACGTTCGCTCTATTGATCCAGGTAATTTGGAAGTGTTGTGTGTGCCTTCTGCGATACTTTGATAAGGTTTTTTTATATAAAGAATAACAAATTATACTACAAACAACCAAAAACAACAGCAACAAGTAAGAATGTATAGTAAAACATTTTCAACTCTGTCCAGACCGGAAGGGGAGAGTAGAAGGCGACCGAACGTGCTCAGACTTTCAACAGCTACAACTACTAAAATCTGTTACCTTCAGGGCCATTTTTAGCGCCATGTTTTGTTTACATCCAATTGTATGTGCTGCTGTGGCAACAGTTTATGAGCATGGTTGCAAATTGAGAATTTTAGGGTTAGGTTTTAATGATCCGTTTGCAAAAATATTCCCATACAATTTTGCAAACCAAGATGACAAATCCAAAATGGCGGCCATTTGGGGACATAGCAGCTGACATAGCATTTTTGGCAGTCGATCGTATTATACGGCGTAGTTTGGTCAAGTAAGCAGCCAGAGATATATTTGTGACGTTTAAATGTTTATCGTGGGCCTAAAAAACCTGAGTATAAAACTGAATAAATTATTAAGCTTCCTTTTCCTATGTCGGCAAGTCATGCATGTTACACGTAAGTTCTTGTGTCTTTTGCCTTAGCTTGCGTCCTTTGTAAATTCATTTCTTTAATATTCGCCTAGTTGTTCCTGTTAATTTACCTCAACCCAAGTGGTAATTGAATTGTGCATGGGATCCTGGTTTCCACCAGTAGATGTATGGTTCGATGACACGAAGATAGTCGGGGCAATATTGTACACCCTGATAAAGTGAATATCCTAAAAACAAAATTAAAAAAAGTAAGTTAAAAGAAAGGATACTTTCATGTTCATCAGTCACCAGACAGGTAAAACAGTAACGGAAGGACAGACATAAGACAGTGATAACTGACCTTGCAGAAAGCATTGTTATGATCAGCTGGAGGAATCCCAGAGTTTGCAAAATAAATAGAATCGTGTTCTGCAAAAAGAGGCTTGTGAAGTGAAGAAAACGCCAACCAGTTCTAAAACAAAATGAATTTCAAAANTGGTTCGATGACACGAAGATAGTCGGGGCAATATTGTACACCCTGATAAAGTGAATATCCTAAAAACAAAATTAAAAAAAGTAAGTTAAAAGAAAGGATACTTTCATGTTCATCAGTCACCAGACAGGTAAAACAGTAACGGAAGGACAGACATAAGACAGTGATAACTGACCTTGCAGAAAGCATTGTTATGATCAGCTGGAGGAATCCCAGAGTTTGCAAAATAAATAGAATCGTGTTCTGCAAAAAGAGGCTTGTGAAGTGAAGAAAACGCCAACCAGTTCTAAAACAAAATGAATTTCAAAATAATACAATCAACTCCCTCTCTAAAGGATACCCTTAAAGGACAGCGACACCTCGCTAAAACGGAGACATAGAGTTGGCTCCTACCGTTCTTCAGTCATATTATTCAAATTTGACTCTCTATATAAGACGGGTATCTCTTTAAAGGGGCACTTAGGGTTGGTCCCTGCCTCTCTTCAGGCATACGCCCTGTAAGATGAGCATTTCACTAAGACGCGTACGGACATGTACACAGTAAAACCTTAAACGGACACGCCTTAAGCTGCCCCCCGCCTTTCTTCTGTCGTTTTAATTTGTTTGACTCTCTTTAAAACGAACATTTCCCTAAAAAGGGCACCTAGAGTTGGTCCCTGCCTTTCTTCAGTTACAGTATTTGACTCTGTAAGACGGACACCTCCCTAAAACAGAAACCTAGCGTTGGTCCTTGCCATTCTTCGGTTACAGTGTTTGACTTAAGACGGACGCCTCCTAAAACGGTAAGCAAGAGTTGGTCCCTGCCGTTCCTCAGCAGTATTTGACTCTGTAAGAAGGACACCTCCTTAAGACAGAAACCTAGGGTTGATCCCTGCCGTCCTTCAGACATATTACTTGACTCTCTTTTAGACGGACACCTCCCCAAAACGGGCTCCTAGAGTTGGTCCCTTTTGTTCTTCAGACATATTATTTGACTCTCTATATAAGACGGGCATCTCTTTAAAGGGACACCTGGAGTTGGCCCCTGCCTCTCTTTAGGCGTACGCCCTGTTAAGATGAACATTTCACTAAGACGGACATGTACACAGTAACATGTAATTTGAAGCTGAAGCTGCAAACTTTGACCAAATTAGGCGAACATTCTCAGTTACTGGAAGTGAGACTAAGTGTTACATGACTTTCCTTGTTTGGAAGTCATCGTCCAACTAGTCCTTATATTCATATGGAAACTGTTACTAGAAGCCCCTGAGTTATTAGTTGTAAACAGCAACAAACTGTGGCGTCAGAGGCTAAAGGTTGATAGCCCCTATTATGCGCGAATATTTTAATGTTAAAAACACTATTTCACTCAAGCAGGGTAGAAATGAAAGGAAGACTTTAATACAAGCCCACTCTTTTTGATTCATTTACATACATGAATTCTTCCAGTTAGTTACCATTCAGTTCTCAAAGTCGAACATCACTTGCAATTTTGAAAAACGCGCCTTCAAATAAAACCGTTTAGTTACAGTTTTACACATTTTTACACTTTTACGGTTACTATAAAGTGGTCGAAAGGGATCTTGGCTGTACAGGTCCTAACCTCAGAGCTAATTCTCAATCTATCTCAAACTGAAACTGAATCAGTAATTATATTAATAAGTTGTGATGAAATTATCCTAAATGTTTACAACATAAATGTCCTCGTGGGAGCCAGCGTAATTTTGCAGTTCCCGTAAACATATTTTGACAGAAGATTGTGTGATGTCCTCTAACCAAATACTGGCGGCGTCTCTCTTCAGTCCGGCACGGTGATGTTCTGCGGTAGCAAACACTAAAGGATCCTTTGAAAACTTGCCCTGATTGGAAAATGGTACAAAATTAAGTATAGGAATAACAGGCAATGAGGTAAAGCAAAATACGCTTTGATAGCGTCTAACTGCCACTTTAATGTATTTTTCTTGACAAAATGGTCCGTGTCATTTCATATACCATTTCATATAACAGACCTTGAGCCCTTTCTTCTAATGTCTGGTAACTTCTCTGGGTTGAAGTGTAGCTTGCATTACAAATCCGAGCAATAAATAATCTAGTCCATTTGTCTCATAATCCGATAGTCTTTTTGACGTTACTTACAAAACTAGTAAAACATTGACCTTTGATGTAAGGGAAATAGATCAACCTTTTCAGCTTGCATTCTTGTTTTCACAATAAAGATCCCAACGTTATGCTCAGATATGCACCAGTGAAAAGGACGACATTTGAAAAAAAAAAAAAATAGTTCTGATGAGGTAACCTCTCGTATTCTGAAATGGGAAAACAAAATATACGAGCCAAAGAGGTCTTTTAAACAATTTTTCAATGAACTATCCAGAAAACGTATTGTAAAAAGTCACCTATTTGCTTTATATTTTCATGGTAGACCTATGATGGAAGCCCGGTTGGGGTAGTGATAGCGAGTGATACTGTTAGTCGTCGTCGTCGTAGTCAGAAGTAGTTAAGCATTAGGTATGCGTTTTGAAAAGATCTGCTGACTTACCGAAGGGAAACTCACGGTCTTACAAGTCGTTCCAGTCCACCACTGTGACATGCGCACCTCTCCAGTGACCCCACCCACTGGAGCTCCCTGATAAGCTATCCAGTCTATGGACACATTAGCACTGGACTTGCGCTCGTTATACCCTGCCGCCATCATGCACCCAGTGAATTGTTCGTAACTTACATCTTCAATCCACGACACAGCAGCATCGTGGACATATGTCATGTCACTGGTATCGATGTGATTGACAGTTATCTGTACTTGGATAGGTTTGTCAGGATAGAATACAAAGGGTCGGAAACGAACAGCTTGGCAATGAGAGTATCCCAAAGATGGTATGTGGGGCATGTGAATTCGACCGCGCTGAAATGGGAACCCTGACAAAAAGAAGCGGAAATAAAAAACAAAAAGAACAAAACAAAACAAAAATCATTAAATTATGGTAAATATATAGAACAAAATGAAAGCAGTAACAAAAACGTAGCTATATTCATTGAATGCTTAAATGATTAGTGTAGGTGTTGGTGTGAGTTTTCTCCTAAAATGCTTGCAGTTGACAGACGTCTAAATCTGATGTTTCAGATAAAGTCTTTAGAAACTAATAAATGAGCAGCATACTGAGTTGCTAACCTTCACAACCACCGGGATGTTGGATAGTGTAGTTGAGTCGCAACAGACACATTTCCTGTTCAAAGAGACACCTATTATCAAACGTCGTTCCGTTGGAGGAACATATGGGCTCTTGGTAGGATGGGCAGTTTTCTGCGTGCACGCAGCGGGCATCGTATGGTCCAAAAGCCTTACAAAGACAGTGGTAATCACAGGTTACGTCCAGACAAGGATCCAGATCTAGTAGGAGTGTACAAAAATCGCGTTTCACATAAGTCTAAACTCGATGAAAAAACAACAGCAAAGTGAAAGATACAGTTTACATAAATGCTTAATTGCACAAATTTATCTAGGCCTATACCTTTTTCCTGACGCACCGATTTTTCAGGAAAATTTATCCTGTGCGTCATTCAATAAACGCTAGCTAAATCTCACAAACATAACACAAGAAGCCAGATATAACCAGGACCAATAGAATAGGCCTTTTTCAATAGTTGGTCACGTGTTTCCACCAGGCTGCTCTTCCATTACACATAAGCTCTAATTCTCGGGGGGTCTTTCGTAGAGAAATTCTTGGTCGGGGTGTGCCGCACGAGGGCGCACGTGGGGACAATCTCCTTTCTTGCGCCGGCCTCGCAGGCTTTAAAGTAAGGTACGTTTGTGCCTCCACACATGTCCAATATACACAAACGGATACGATTCGTCAAACCGATGGTCCATTGGTACCAATGGTAGGATTGGTACCAATAGAAAAGGATGTCATTCCAGTGGTTCTGTTGGTGAATATGCATCTCATTAAGGGGACTTTGATTATTTTCCCATGTGACCTGGCTGGGTACAGGGCAATTTCCGATGGTCCATTGGTTCCAATGGTACGATTGGTCCCAAACGGAAAAGGATGTCAATCCAATGGTTCTGTTGGTGAATATGCATCTCATTAAGGGGACTTACATTACAGGGCAATTTCCGATCGTCCATTGGTACCAATGGTACGATTGGTACCAACAGAAAATGCCATTCCAATGGTTCTATTGCTGCAAAACAAGTTCGCTTTTACACCAAGCAGAAACGCGCTATAATTCTTATGAATTGGAATTGCCCTGTACCCAGCTAGACCACATAAGAAAATAATCGAAGTCCCCTTAATAAGATGCATATTCACCAATAGAACCATTGAATTAGGGTGCTCTTCTATTGGTACCAATCGTACCATTGGTACCAATGGACCATTCGAATTGCCCTGTACCCAGCTAGACCAGATAAGAAAATAATCTAAGTCCCCTTAATGAGATGCATATTCACCAACAGAACCATTGGAATAGGGTACTTTTCCATTGGTACCAATCGTACCATTGGTACCAATGAAGACCCTTCTTATCACCACTAACACCAATGGAGTCTATTTGTGAGTACTGGACAACCGTGCGCGTAACTATAAAGGCTTGAATTTAAAACGGATCTGCCTGGTTATCTTAAATGACAAACAGCACTTTTTATTCTCATTTCTTTGTACTAAGTAAGTATTTTTACATACCTCCAATAATCAGGAAGTCGACTTTAATGGTATTGTTACTGATCCTATCGTAGTTTCGTACACAGATCTTTGTATCTGTTTTGGTTGAATTCTTTAATGAAATAAAATATTCGATTAATTTTCTTTTTTCTTTTTTTTTTTTCTTATAATAATCATGCAGTCCAGTATGGTCTAATTTGCGTCCTATAAATCTCGTATATTCTAATATATATAACATGGGGTGCACCGAGATCTCATACCTTAATGAAAAATTCTTGAACATGTAACATGAACAAGCTTTTTTATCATCAGGAGGTGCATTTTTTGCACTTAACAATGATACAGTAAAGAAAGAACAATCTTACCTCAACCCAGGTGGTGATTGCGTTACAACCAGAAAGCAAATTGTTGCCACTGTAAATGTATTTTGGTGTTACTAACACCACCGGAGGGGCAAAGAACGGATCTGTGAAGGTGATGTTCTGGTAAAGAAAAACAATGAATTATTTAAAAGAAGTATTTGGGCAGCTATGTTGCAAACAAACGAACACGCAAACACACAATTAACCAACAAACTAACAATAATATCAAGCTACGCTCAGACACATTCCGTTATAAGAGAACGAATGCAATACAAATGGACATTGCAAAGCAGTGCAATTTAAAAATGTTACCTTTTAACTTCTTACGTATACCTGACAAAGGGCGAAGTTATCTTGCGATCGAGATAACGATCTGTTGTTGGTAAACGCCAAACTATCAGCCAAAGTAAAATTTTGAACCCTCAAATTGGTAAATGCCATCCAGTTCTGCTTAAAAGAACATACGAAAAAGGAATTCGGGTTATCATTTTCACTAGTGAATTAGCCAAATAAGTGTCCCCAGCAGGCTGAGTGAGCCCCTGGTAATTTAAGCTTTTTCGTTTCAAAAACGAAGAAGAATATTGAAGATCCGCCGAACAGAAAAGTGGGTAGTGGTTATACTTCTCCTGTCTTTACCAGTAGTCAAAACTAAACAATTTACTTTATTAGTTGGTGACCAACTCTTACATCTCGCCCTATACGTCTCCATTTATAGCATAGAAATATAGCCTGAGTGTCCCAGGCGTTCAGATTGTAGGGCGCAGGCGTACGATTTAACTCGCTCCCCGCCACCATCTGAACACCAAGAACCGGTTATAATAGTAACAGAACATTTTAATGTTTAAAAGAGACATTTTAGAAGGGTTTATTTGCTTTAAAGTGAAGAACTTGGAATTTAATAATAGGCAAGCTCTGTCAAAATTACTCACAACTTTAATATTCTGATGAAAACCGTCGAAAATCTTTACTTCTCGGAGGCAAATTTTGAAACTGCTTTGGGTCAAATCCTCCACCCACACGGCCATGGCATCCTGAGGTCGCTCTGGAACCTGGTGACTAGGAGTCACAAGTATAGTTGGAAGGGACTGGAAACGCTAGAAAGAAATCAGAACGAACTTATAAATGAGGAATTTTAGCAAGCAGACAAGGTAGTTGGAATGGTGTGAGATTCTGAAGGTGTACGCACGCGGGAAGGAAAGTTAATGCACCGAAGGCGCTCCAAACTAGGAGAGGCATGGGCATGCTCCCGCCAAAAAAGATAATTAATTTAGGGACCCAGAAACGCCATTTCCTACGTTTTTTCACGGAACACTTTCAGCAAATAAATAAGGAGGAAAAATGCAGTAGTCCGTTGTTTTTTTTTTTTTTTTACACCTCTCTAGTGTTATCGGTAAGATACAATGTTAACGGGAAAAAGGTAAAACAGTGACGCAATCAAAGAGGTTACAAGCAGAGGGCGATACGTCTAAACCCTTCAGACGGTCCAGACGGGCAAACTCTGTTACAACGCTATCAATAGCAGTTAACGTCCTTGTGCTTGTTATGACTGTGCAGAAATGCAACAGAGCTCCGTCACTCATCTCTCACCCAACTATAGCGTTTCTTGCAGTAAGCCGTTGATAGAACAATAAGGATGAAGGAAATACTAAAACAGGGACTCCAATATAATGCAAAAAAAAAAATATATCTGTCATCCCGGTTTTATCGGATAAAGTGCTTTCAGGTACTAAAACAGATTTCAGCTGTACGCACTGGCGTGTGTGCGGATATGAACGCTTCGCTCCTGGCAAGACAACAGGATACAGTTACTACATTTAATTGACAATAAGTAGATTAGCGTATAAATAGGAATTAATGAATGACCAGTAGTGTTGACTATAAATAGAATGAGTGATTGCTTGTAAATTGAATCAAAGGGATAGTTCATTGGAATATGTTTTTATGGATAAGTATTGATAAAATTGAAGTGGAAGTTTAATTGAAGCCTCTTAAGTCACTTGGTGTAAATAATGCGGGAAATGTACACTTATAGTTCACGTGACCGGAAAAAAAGTTTAAAATAATACTTCCATGAACTTTTGGCCGTCTTCCGTTGACCATATTCGATGTTAGAAAAGCGTCAAAAGTAGACACTATTCCAAAACAACATAAAATACCAGAAATGCCAGTAATGTGAAGATGAAATTACATTTTGTTTTCTGATAATATTATTTATGTTTACCTTGAAATGGTTTATGGAGGGATTACCAGATTAACTTTTAGCGAAATTTGCCAAGGGGCACACAGTAAATGGCAATATTCCTTCGATTTAAAAAATGGTTAAAAACGTTTTATTTTTTATGCATTTATCTCTTTAAGACCGAAAACATGAGAAAAAAACGGGAATGTCGATCAACATTTAATAACCCTCCTAATTCCAAAATCCTGAAGTTTGTATAATTGATAAAAGACAGTATATCAACAGCCTTAAATTTAGTCTTGAAAGGGTTATTTAAACATCAAACATCCGGCTAAGATTTCAAGGTCTCAGTGTCTAGTGTCAACTTCATATTCATAAATGTTATTTTAAAATATGTCATAAAACAGCTAAAAACAAAACATATTTTGTGGATTGACATCTGTCCCAATTTTCCCGATACGGCTAAGGCCGGGGTGGCCGAATTCCGTATATAAACTTGGCGTCATGCATGCACAAGAACATTGTTGTACATCGAAACATCTCAAGCAAGATTAACCCTTTAAGCCCTAAGAGTGATCAGCGTCAAATTTCTCCTTGTCATATCACTGTTTTATAAAACAGAGTGGTCATGAGAATTAAGGACATGATCACACAAGATGAATCTAATTGATACGTCAACAAATTCTCCCCGCTACTTCTATTGAAAACGTATAGGGATAACAAATGAGAATTTGAATTTTGATGTTAGGGTTTAAGGGGTTAATAAATCGCGCAGTCAAAAGCAATAAAATGAAACCATTTAATCCACTTCGGTAAATAAATCTGGAGCTGCCCATTTTCCTGGCTTACAGTAGAGTTCCTTTTAAACTTCACTTCGCTGTTAAGCCAGCCCACCTCGACCCCTGCTCGATCGCAGAAAATCCCTCACCGTTTTAACCTTTTAAACCCCAACATCAAAATTCAAATTCTCGTGTGTGTGAGAGAATTTGTTTAAGTATCAGTTATATTCATCTTGTATGATCATGTCCTTAATTCTCATGACCACACTGTTTTACAAAGCACTGATATTACAAGGAGAAAATTGATGCTGATCACTCTTAGGGCTTAAAGGGTTAATCCCTTAGTTTTTACGTCCGGAGTCGCTGCGGCGAATAATGTTATTTGTTGTATTGGGTTTTATCTCGTCACTATTTTATCGTAGTATTAACCAAACAGACAAAAACAACAACAACGACAACAAAAGCTAACCTGGGGAAAGTCGATCCTTTTGCATTCTGTCCCAGTAGTCCAGGAGTCCAAGAGGGTTGTTCCTAACTGCGCCCCTGACGGTGCAGATTGCATGGCGACCCAATTAAATTCCGCGGTTTTGTTTGATCCGTCGCTGTATTCATAGACGCAAGCGCGGAAATGGTTTGCATCCTCCGATTCCACCCAAATAGCAGCACCATTAGAATGAGCTGAGTTGTTAACTGCGTGGCCAAATGAGGCTAAGACTTTCACTTCTTTTCCACCCGGGAAAGGTTGAGTGAAGGAGATCTGCTTGCAAGCGAATAAGCTTCCGCCCGCTGCAGCAATATTGACTTTACCGGCCTCAAAACTAGCTGCTATAAAGAAAAAAGGAGTAGTCACTAGATAAAAGATAAAAATTTAGCTAAAAGAAATGTAGTTTTTAATGAGTTTCAACTATAATTGACAAACTTTATTAAGATCCCGGCTTCGTGTATATGCCCCACCCCCTAAACTCCTAGCAGTTTGTTGGTTTTCTCTTTCAAAAAAAGGCTTAATTTCCATAGTCCTTTGAAAAGTTTAAGCTTTAAAGTAACAACAATCGGTTCAGTTTGTTAGAATCATACCGCGTTCCCTTTTCAAAACTCGCCTTGAAAGAAATCGAGTATCTCGTGACCAAGGATAGGAGAGCTTCTTAATAATTGTCTTGTCATCTTTCCTGGGCTGATTGGTGCTGGAGGGAAATATTTTGATATGCCGTAATAAAGTGAAATAAGTTACCTTCAATCCTCTGGGGAAAGAGCACCGTATAAGGCACGCAGCAAAAGAGTAGCAGCAGAATATTGCGCTCTCCAACCATTCTGCTTCCAGTACAAAAGTGAATTTGAGATGCAAAGCACCCATTTTTGTACGTGTTGGATCCATCGACCTGTCCAGACATGTAACCGACTTAAAAATGTGAGGGGGAGCCAAGCAAACTGTGGGAGGAGGTATTTCAGATTATCACCTTGTCCCAAAAGATGCTATCTAAATTGAAGGCAAAAACACCCTTTCTTTCCTAATCCAGTGGTTTATACTAACATCGGTATCCCCTCCCTCCAAAGATTAACGTTCCATTGTTTGTTTTTTCTGTTACTGTGCCAAACGGAAAGCTAAGAGCCTTCTTGGTAATAAGCTTTCACGTTCATGTCAACGTTTGTTTAAAGTGACACCAGTTTGATATGGCTTAATTAATAACTAAAGTTCTCAAAATGAAACCGCAGTTTATGAAGGGCATAAACTAAAACTGAAATATTGCAATCACGAACGCACATGCAAACAAAATATTTTTGACTTATTTTTTAAGCGAGAGGACATTCTTGTGTTCAGAATACCCTTATATTAACGTTGACTTATCGACTACTTAATTTTAGGGGAGTGCTTGCATGTTACTAAGTAAAGTGTTATTTGATAGACGTCATTAATTGTGTATGCAGTGTCTAAAGCACTTAGCTTCTTTAAATATTTATTGTTATTTTTTGATAAGAACCTCACATTTTGAGCTGAGGCTGAGTCAAGACCTTAAAGTTCTCATTTATAGGGTGATCTAGGTATCCTCAAAACGCCATGAAGTTCGAATTCGAGGCTCTTTTGGCTTTATATTGAATTATAAAATGAGTTTGGCAGGCCTGCACGAGGTTGGCAAGAATGAGCTGGAGTGGAGACATACTAACAACACCAAAGTCTATATAGTCAGTGATATGTCTAGGTGCAGCGTTTAAAAATACATACGTAAATAGAAAAACGGTTTAGAAACGCCAGATTTTGAATCTAGATATTCGAGACCGGTTCACCTTTCAGCTCCCTAGTGCAGGTTATTCAATTCACGACGTATAGGAAATCACGGTGTGATCTGCGTTTTTTTTTTCACTACGCAAATATAGCTATGACTACTTGTTTTTTATCACGTTTAAATCCGTATTAGGTCATTCTGCAAGAACAATATTGTTCTGCAACCTGCTCGATGCCGAAGGTCACAAAAGTACTTCCGCGATTTAACGCGTCGGTGCCTGTATACTTAATCCTACGGATAATTCTTTGGCTCAATGTATTTTCTTTATCAGTTAAACATGGCCATACTATTCCCTTACAACCTTTACAATTCTCAGTTTTATGAACAGTTGATAATTAAAGTTAATTGTCTACCATAGAAGAACGAAGAACTTAGTTTGCGCCAGCTCCTCTCCAGACTGACTGACACTGTTTGGCAGATGAAAACATATTATCGACCATGATATTTTTTTTTTTTTT